AGGAGGGGGACACCGATCAAATCAGACTATAAATGCAGGGCAGCTTCCACCTCTTCTGTTACTCACATGTGCCACATAGTGCCTGTGGAAACGAACCAATAACTGTTGGATCCTACAAATCATTTTCTATAGCATATCAGACTGCCTTGGCCAGGTCCAGTACTATCAAATAAACGCCACTGAGTCAACTCAAGATCTGTGTCTTATTATTTGTATGATGACTGGAAGCATACAATGTTCTAATTGAGATTATAATTAAGCAGGTTCAAACAAGCAAGAGTGCTTTTCTGGGATGCTTTTCCCAAACCCAAATGCGTTTTCTCTTGCAGGTTGCAGAACTTGAGACCATATTTGGCTAACGATTTGGTTTTGGGAAACGCACGCCTGAATGTTGGCTCCCCTGGGATTTGGCCATGGCTGCAGGTAATTGCAGCTGTGCTGATATTCAGAATGACAGCATTGTTCTATAAGCAAGTAACTTGTGTTTCCAAGTTGGTTCATTCTCAGTGAAAACAGCTGCGTAAAACTGTGCATGTCAGCAAACCTCAGTCAGTCTGGAAATGTGTATGTGAGTCGAGCGGAGTCTTATGCAGTCGCTATATGTTACAACCACCTGGCTCTAGGTGATGCCACATAAAGAGGGGAGGCCACACATGGAAGTCAAATTAACAGACAAACATTTAATCAGAAATAAATAATTAATTATAACTATCTTGTTATAATTAAAAAAAATTAATTATAAAAAATTAATTATAACTATCTTGTGGCCTCAAGATAGTAACTCGTGGCCACAAGATAGTAACTCGTGGCCTCAAGATAGTAACTCGTGGCCACAAGATAGTAACTCGTGCCTCAAGGTAGTAACTCGTGGCCACAAGATAGTAACTCGTGGCCACAAGATAGTAACTCGTGGCCTCAAGATAGTAACTCGTGGCCACAAGATAGTAACTCGTGGCCTCAAGATAGTAACTCGTGGCCTCAAGATAGTAACTCGTGGCCACAAGATAGTAACTCGTGGCCACAAGATAGTAACTCGTGGCCTCAAGATACTAACTCGTGGCCACAAGATAGTAACTCGTGGCCACAAGATAGTAACTCGTGCCTCAAGGTAGTAACTCGTGGCCACAAGATAGTAACTCGTGGCCACAAGATAGTAACTCGTGGCCTCAAGATAGTAACTCGTGGCCACAAGATAGTACCTCGTGGCCTCAAGATAGTAACTCGTGGCCTCAAGATAGTAACTCGTGGCCACAAGATAGTAACTCGTGGCCACAAGATAGTAACTCGTGGCCACAAGATAGTAACTCGTGGCCTCAAGATAGTAACTCGTGGCCTCAAGATAGTAACTCGTGGCCTCAAGATAGTAACTCGTGGCCACAAGATAGTAACTCGTGGCCTCAAGGTAGTAACTCGTGGCCACAAGATAGTAACTCGTGGCCTCAAGATAGTAACTCGTGGCCACAAGATAGTAACTCGTGGCCTCAAGATAGTAACTCGTGGCCACAAGATAGTAACTCGTGGCCTCAAGATAGTAACTCGTGGCCTCAAGATAGTAACTCGTGGCCACAAGATAGTAACTCGTGGCCTCAAGATAGTAACTCGTGGCCTCAAGATACTAACTCGTGGCCACAAGATAGTAACTCGTGGCCACAAGATAGTAACTCGTGGCCTCGAGATAGTAACTCGTGGCCACGAGATACTAACTCTTAAAATAGAAAAATAAATAAAAATAAATCTTAAAATTAAAAAATTAATGCAAAAAAATAACTAAAAGAAAAATCAATCCGGGGATGAAGGGTAAATAGGTGAACGGCACCAGCAGACTTGCTATATACCTTAGGGTACGTTTACACAACAACAATATGCTTAAAACGGAAAAGTTTTTCTTTTGTAAAATAAGTGTGAGTGTGCACTAAGTGTGTATAGCCTGTCTTGTTGGCAAAAGCTATTTACACTAACCCCGCCCACCAATGTCTGGTTGGGCCACACAAGATTAAAAAAGACTCACATACAAAGTGAACTCTGCAAACACATTACACAAACCAAAGCATCATAACAATCATCCGAGTCTTTGAAGTCGAGACCGAGTCTTTGAAGGGTCGAGTCCGAGTTGAGACAGAGTGCGTTTGTATTCAAATACAGTCGAGTCCATGCTCTCCATGCAACTCTGAAGGAACTACCTGTGAGATAGGATTCAAACCCAGTGATGAGAGGGTGGACAGAAGGATCTGATGATTCACAGTGTCGAAAGCATCAGATCCAGGAGAATGGGAACTGATGATTTGGAAGCAGCTTTCACGATCCGCAGGGCTTCTGTGACCAATAGTAATGGCATCTCAGTTGAATGCCCTTTCTTGAAGCCAGATTGGTTGACATCAAGCTGGTTATTCTGAGACAAGAAAGATGATACTTGGTTGAAAGAAACTTGTTCAAGTGTTTTCGCAATGAATGGCAGGAGAGAGACATGTCAGTAACTCTCTACCAGTGAGGTGTTTAATGTTTTTTTTTCTTCTTTTAAGCAGTGGGGTTACCCGAACCTGCTTGAAATACAGTAGGGAAAATACAGTATGGATGGAAGAGTGTATGATGTGCTGGTAAAAGTGTGGGAGAGATTGCTGGTAGAAGGTGTGAGGGGATGGGGTCTAGAGGGCAGGTGGTAGGATGACTGGAGAGGAGAAGTTTAGATACTTGCATTTGGCAGATGCTTTTATCCAAAGGACTAACATTGCATTTCAACACTCAAAAAATGAACTATAGGGAGGTTGTGCACTTTACATAATATATTTATATATAGTTTACTTATAATAATTATGTTTTTTGACTTTAAATGTTTTTTTTCTTCTATTAAGGTCTATGTAATTGTGTCTCAACTTAACAGTAGGGGGGTTGGTGGTGCATGGGTAGTGAGTTGAAGATTGAAAGTAATGAAGAAATGATCGGAAATGTGCAGAGGTTTCACCAAAATGTTGTCTGTGATGCAGTTGCGTGTGTAAACCAGGTCCAGTTGGTTGCCTGATTTGTGGTGATGAGCCGTTTGAGATCGAAGGAGGCTAGGAGAGAGATGAAGTCCCACAGTCACCAGATCTCAACCCAATAGAGCATCTTTGGGATGTGGTGGAACGGGAGCTTCGTGCCCTGGATGTGCATCCCACAAATCTCCATCAACTGCAAGATGCTATCCTATCAATATGGGCCAACATTTCTAAAGAATGCTTTCAGCACCTTGTTGAATCAATGCCACGTTGAATTAAGGCAGTTCTGAAGACATAAGGGAGTCAAACACATTATTAGTATGGTGTTCCTAATAATCCTTTAGGTGAGTGTAGAACAAATAAACGGAAAGAAAAAAAGGCCACAAGACAGGGGTGTATAACTAATCAGAAAATATTACATATCAAAGGAAAGTTTTAAAAGACTTACATATTTCAGTTGTTTTTAAAGCCTTCTTGGTACAAGAGTCAGAAATAGTCCCAAAGCAAAAGATGAAAACTGGTTTCTGCCCTGAGAATTTACATTTATGCATTTAAAATTTTGTCAACAACAAAAAAAGAAGTTAAAGGGATATTTTGTTTTTGTGTAATCGTTCTTCAGCCACAACCCCCCCCCCCCGTTAACAATTCCAAACAAAATAAATCCACTATAGTCTCTGAGTGCTTTACAAAAAGAACAGTTTCAATATCTTTTTGAAGGAATTATTAACTGCATATACACAATGGACAATTCAAAAAGAAAGTTCCCTTATCTTATAGTAATTAAATATCTATTCGGAAATCAGCCAAAACTTTCTCCAGACAATATCTTTGTAACACATTCATTCAGAAATAATTGACGTATTGATGAGAAGTTGATTAAAAGCAATATTTCCGCACCACTGTAACTCTAGGATCTAAAGGAGGTAAAGAGGAGATGCAATCTAATAACTCCAAATGATACGGCATCAAAAACAATAGCAAAGGCTTATGGGAATGTTAAAACGACTAAGGAATTCTTCATAGTTTAATAAATGGCCATTTGCATTAAATAACAGACTGACCACCAGGAAAATATCAACCTCAAACCAGAGCTGGAAGAAAAGAGATTTGTTTTTACGGATAGCACAGTTCCATATGAAATATATTTGTGAGGAGAAAAGTGCTTGTAGTAGGCCTATATCAGAGACCAGGCAAGAAGGATCTGCTTATGAAATTTAGAAAATTTAGCTGGTATTTTTTCAACATTATAATTACAAAACAATAAAAATTTTAAACCACCAAATTTGGAGAAAATTACGGAGTCCCTCTAGTCCCACTTTGGTAAAAAAAAATTAATTATAACTATCTTGTGGCCTCAAGATAGTAACTCGTGGCCACAAGATAGTAACTCGTGGCCTCAAGACAGTAACTCGTGGCCACAAGATAGTAACTCGTGGCCACAAGATAGTAACTCGTGGCCTCAAGATAGTAACTCGTGGCCTCAAGATAGTAACTCGTGGCCTCAAGATAGTAACTCGTGGCCACAAGATAGTAACTCGTGGCCTCAAGATAGTAACTCGTGGCCTCAAGATACTAACTCGTGGCCACAAGATAGTAACTCGTGGCCTCAAGATAGTAACTCGTGGCCACAAGATAGTAACTCGTGGCCACAAGATAGTAACTCGTGGCCTCAAGATAGTAACTCGTGGCCTCAAGATACTAACTCGTGGCCACAAGATAATAACTAGTTACTATCTTGAGACCACAAGATAGTTATAATTAATTTTTTTTACCAAAGTGGGACTAGAGGGGCTCCGTAGAAAATAATATATAATGTGGAATGAAGTTCCAAACAGAAGTTGGATTTTGGAGAAAGCCTTTGGCCCAATTCATTTTAAGGGTATTATTGAATGTACAAAAGTCAAACATATTGAGGCCACCATCTAAATAAGATTTCTTGAAATAATGTATGCCGTTTTTCTTGTGCTCGGTTGCTTGATGGGGAAATCCTCCGCTGGGTTGCGTCACAATGACGTCATCGCTGCCGTCTTCAGCTCGCGCGGACAGAGACGGCCATATTTGCGGGAATAAGCGAGCGGAGCGTCCCGCGCGGTTTGTGTGCTCCTGCAAATCGCCCGCGTCACTTGATCTTCATGCACATTTAATGGTCACACACGACGCAGAAATGCCTCACGGAATAAGCCTCTAGTCCAACCATATGATATCTTTCGGCCCCGCGACGGAGTCCTCGCTCAAAATGGAGGTGCAGAGCGTCAGCAGTGAGGTATGTCATATATATGACAACGTTCATTGACCAGTATTGATAATCGGCGATTTTAATGACAGTTTTGTGTGTTTGGTGATGATGTGAGCGAGCGTGTCCCTGTCGCGCGGGTGCGCGCGCGCAGTGTGGAGACTCGCGTGACGACAGCGTTAGCTCGAGCGGTTAGCATGTGATATTGATGCTACTCGTGATTCCTGCACAATATTGAATCAAATGACGCTCATATCAATGACATCGTGTTTCTGCAGTGTGTAAAACACGAGCGTGTTAATGAGTTAATGATGACAATGAAGATTAGCCTGCGCTTGTTGATCGGATTCACCTTATGAGTCATGACTAAAGCGCGCGCACGCACACACACACGCACACAGTCTCATCTGCCTTCATCTGTTAGTAACACTGATTGAGCTGTCAACTTAAATCTGTACTCGTATCAGACAGGATGTGCGATATAGTTTAATCTTTGTCTTGTTTTTGTCTGTTAAATAAATAATTTCTAATAAATAAACTAAATATATATGTGTCGTTCTCTCTATGTCTTTATATAAGCCTATTCTTCAGCTCTCTGTTGAAGATATTTTAAATAACGTTACGTAAATGTTATTTCTCATAAAAGGCTTTCTGTTTTGTTTTTTTGGTACTGAGATTCTGTTTCTGAAACGCAGATTAGTGTGCACTTGGGAATGGACTTCAGTTTTAAAGGGATAGTTCACTTTGAAATGAATTTTTGATATGTTTTAGCTTACCTCAAGGGCATCCAAAATGTAGGTGTCTTTGTTTTCGCAGTATTTTAAATTTTGATATTTTTAGGTCAAACCGTTCTTGTCTGTCAGTCATATAATGGAGGTCTATGGTCACCACCTCAAAGAGCATGCACAGAGAAGTCCAAATTGAACGTGATTTAAAGACTCGTAAATGTAAGGACACATTGATGACCTAAGACACCAAAGCGGATTTTGTACTGCAATAAACTTTTGCGCGATATTTTAATTTTTCGAGTTTCACATGTATGGGAGGAGCAGGAGTTATCTTCTTAAGTGTTATCTCCTCCTTAACACTTTACTTGAAGGGGTGTGCATAAGACTGACATGACGCCTTCATAATCATTACATGACACGTGTCATGAATATGAATGAGGTTTTATGCATGTTTGCCATTATAACATTTTGATAACAAATTCAATTTGTACCACTGTAGTTGAGGTCCCGAAAAATATTCATGACACAGTTATAACTGTACGTTCACACCACCACGACTTGAGCGTCAAAGAAGCTCTGGCCGCTATGTCAAGGACGCTTGTCAAAAACTATGGGGATCCTTGTTGACGCTTTGGACGTTGCAGGGAGAATAGAAGTGTCACAACATGAAACATTTGGTGGGGAAAAAATAGTTGGCTATTATTATTATTATTTGCGTTCAAATCGGTGTCACCATGAGCAAATTAATTGCATTCCCGCTTTAAAACGAGCGTTCGTAAATATTTCAAATAAAAGTTGCGCTCATGCGGTCCCTATAATTTAACAACGTCATCATAAAAAAGCTCATCATATAACGTCATCATATAAGCTTCTCTTCCATTTTCTCGGAACTAATGTTTTGGTAGGAACGAAAGTTTACATTGTGCATTTCTCCGCAAATCAATCAGCCAGCGTGAAGGACGTCTATTTCCCGATTGGTTGCTGGGGTTTTGCCGCTGAACCGCGTCACAGCTCATTACCATAAAGTTGAGCTTCTTTCAACTTTCTGATTGACGCTCAAAACGCCCCAAAATGCGACGCCGATGGATTTGACGCTCCTTGCAGCTGAGAAAAGCCAGCTTCCATTGAAAACGAATGATTTCCGGCCGCTTTGGAAGCTCAAGTCGGCGTACGGCAATGGCTTCATGACAGCCAATGTCAAAACCATGACAGTTTAATGTAATGTTGTTAACCCTGATAAAGCTTTGTGCTTTCTTAAGTTTGATCATTAATTTTGGTTGTGTTGTCTGTAATGTCAAGTTATCATGACAAAGACATCTCAAACAATGTCATATTTGCATAATAAATGTCATAATTGAGTGAATGACACTTAATGACAGTTGTCATAAACATGCATAAAACCTCCTTCATATTCATGTCATGATTATGAAGGTGTCATGTCGGTCTTATGAACACCCCTTCAAGTAAAGAGCTACCAAAAAGGAACAGTCATCACATAATTTAGTGGAAAATGATTAGAAATGATATTCTGTACTAAGAACATGAGAATCAATCTTTTGTCATCATCCACTCTCTTCTCTTCTTCAGTGTTTGTCTATGCTGGTTTTCAAAAAAAAAATGTGATAGGGCTGCAGCTATCGATTCTTTTTGTAATCGATTAATCTAGCACTTAATCGATCGATTAATCGAGTAATCGGATAATTTGTTTATGTGTGTTTTTAAGCAACCAAAACAAATAATGTATTACGAAAATGATAAGGTGTTTGGCTTTTATTTCTTTAAAAAGATAGAGGTATTTATTCCAACTGCAACATTTGGCTCCACAACTAATTATTGCAATTTTTACCCATTTAGTGTTTATAAGTGCCAGTGCCAACAATTATATAACAATACAGTTAAAACAATTTACTGTAAAACCTGTTACATGTAGCCCATAACATGTAAAACTTTTAATACAAACTTAAATAGTAAAGCCCGGCCTTAGTTTAGTCTTCTTAATACAACATTACAAAAAAAGGATTGCACCTTCTGCAAATTACCCACCTGGAAACAAAAAAAAAATTCATATAAAATATCAACCCAAACAGGTACACAAATGTGTACAATTTATAAAAAAAATAAATAAATGGAAATAAAACAATTATAAATAAGAATCAGACTTTTTCAACTGTAATCTCAAGACAAACATCAGAGTGTGTGTGTCTGTGTGTCTCACAATATTTGTTCCTCCATCACGTCCCGGTGAATGCATGCTGAAATTTTTGTTGCGTGACTACATAAAAGTTTAAGCATATGATGAATTGCCGCAATTGGTCTGACTGGCGCGTGAGAGAGACATGGGTGCACGCGCTCGCTCACCTCTCTGCCGTCGTGCGCGAGCCGCAGTTTGGAGCTCAACGTCTCGCATGCGCGCTCGCACTAGATTACAGGATATTTTAACTTGCGAATTAATATGCGGCGGTAAAACTAGTCGATCAGGAGTGGCTCAACAGGTAGATCTATAGACGAACTCATCTTTCAGGCATTTGACCGAAGGGATTGACACTTCAGCGTGAGAAATCGAATTGCGCGAGTGTCACGCTGAATGCAGCCCTGCCAGGTATACTTTGCAGACACATTGCATCTTGTTCTCTCCCTTTATAAACATATAATGATCCCAAACTTTAGACATTCTCTGCCATTTATGAAGTTAAATGTATCATGCGCTATGGTGTGCTTCCTGAATAACGGTCCGTGTGAAACAATCAGATCCCTGCGTGCGCGTCATAGGAATTTAACGAGGCTTCGAGGCAGATTTTTTGCCTCGAGGAATTTTTGTAATCGAGTAACTCGAATAACTCGAGGAATCGTTTCAGCCCTAGATAGCTCTAGTTTGGTGTGAATGAAAGATTACAGTTTCATGCCGCTGTATTGTGAAAAGCATCATGTGATATTTCTGTTTTTGATTTCAGGTTAATGGGCATCAGATCATGGATGAGCCAATGGAGGAGGAGTCCTACACACACTGTGTGAGTAGTTGTGTGAAATGTGTGTGTTTGTCTTGTGACCCTCTCAGATCTGCTCCACTTCCACCGGTGTGGGATTTTGAAACACCCTTAGAGAGAGCAGGGGCACTATTTAATTGAACACATCCCAGGGCTCGACTATAAGGAGTGCCTGATGGCCCGAGACTAGCGAGAAGGATGCGATTATCATCACTGGCTTGATTGGCTTCAAAAGTTTATATGGTTATCTCAGATTTTGGTTTAATATGCGATATGAGGTTCACGTTTTGATATAACACTTACACTATACATTATGACTGGAAATTGTTTGTTTTTTAGAAAGTTTTAGCAAATTGCAGATTATAGTTTCTTATGAGAATAAATGTCTTAAATGCACAATACAGTTATTCAGTTCTCATCCTCATGTACCAAGTGAGGTGTTGTGTGTGTGTGTGTGATAGATAAGGTTGTTTGTATCGGCATTGTATGTACAAACACCATTTATTTACACGTCACACAACAAAATGAAATGTTTTTTTTCTCACAAATTCTGTGTTTTTTCTGGTAATCAAATGAAGACATAAAACATTAATGTTATTTTATTTTAATCATATGAAATTAAACACTTCAAACAATGAGCTTTACTGGTAGAATTAAAACATGGAAGAGAAATTGTGATTATTCCTTAAAAAAAGTTTTGATGATAATTTATTTGTATTAGTGTTAGTATTATTATGACACTTGACGTATCTAAATTCTACTGTACAATAGTAATAGATTTTTGTCAAGTTAAACCGAACTTTTATTTTGACGGGTTTCCGTGAAGACCTTGAGTTTCTGTGTTTATGACATGTAAATACATGACATGTATTCTGTGTAAATGCTCACAAAGTGACTTTCAGAGCGGATCTAGAGTCTGGAGATGTAGTTCATGCATTCAGTTTGTGTGTGTGTTTGTGAGGTAAATGAAACTGTGTGTTGTCTGTCCCAAAACAATGGTAGGGTCATCTTTAACCTTCAAATGGTCTTTGTTTCCTGTTTACACTTCTGGGCTTCGGGGTCTATACGACCCCAACAACTGATTGAGTAATTGTACAAAAAATATACATTTTTAATCATACAAATAATATATAATTTTGTTTACTTCTAATCTAATCATTAATGCTGTGTTTTTGGAGATATAAAGTACTTTTGTATCCATATACCACACAATTAATCAACTACACCATTAGCTTGCATATGAAATATTATTTTTTTATGATATATTGCATTTAAATGCTCTAGTACTAGGCCTTCATTTCTGTGTAAAAATTTTCCGATTTATGTCCGATTTTTTTTTTTTTTTGGACACATGAAGAAAATGTATTTAGTTTTTTTTTTTTCACATTTCCCATTCATTTCAATGTGGGGTCATATTGACCCCGAAGATCAGAAGTGTAAAAAATTTTTTTTACATACCTTCAGAACAACCGAATCAAGCCTAGTTTTTGTGTGTGTATAGATAGATAATGTATGAAAAGTCACAAAATCTTATTCCACTGAGATGAAGGGATATCATATATAACATATATTTACAGTCTTTAACAAAATATCAAATCTGTGTATTGTACATTATTATATAGGCTTCTGATCTTGAAAATATCCATGTTCAGCAATACCATGGACTTGAAGAGAATATTATGGAATGGTTTGGCATGGTTTACTTTTGATTTGTCACTTGTCCGGATGTCTACAGCTGTGTGTGTGTGTGTGTACAGGATGAGGGGGCCTATAAAGAGATTCCCATCACTCATCATGTGAAGGAGGGCTGTGAGAAGGCCGAGCCCAGCCAGTTTGAGCTGCTCAAGGTTTTGGGACAAGGCTCCTTTGGAAAGGTCTGTTATTCTTTTACTTCATGTGTTTATGATAGGGCTGCAGCGGTATACTTAATTCATGGTTTGGTAAAACTTTGGTTCAACAATGAGAACAAAGAATCTGTATTAAAATGTTTTATTTTGTAAATGCAATGGCTGGATTGTGAAGGTGCTCATTTACACATGACTTCACTATGCATGTGACCCCTCTCACTTTACTATCTGACATAAGCACTAAAATAACTAGTTTCTGTTTCATTAGGGCTCCTGTATGACTGAGAACGCTCGCATCTGAATGAAACTTTTGAACGTGACACATTGTCTGAATAAAAAAGTAAATAAAAGTGATATTTTAAGGTACAAGTTCTTGTTGAAGTTTCAAATATTTTTCTCAGCATCAAATCTCAGGTTTTAAATGTTATGTTTTCAATAAACAAAAATCAATTGTCACATACAATTTAACACTCAGGTATTTTTCAGAGCAGCTTTGGGTGCTTTTTGTCGTGGGAATGTTGCTGTGTCTGTGATTAAGGCCCTGATATACTTTAAGCAAATACAACCGCAAACTGATGTGACGTCTTTTGAACAAAATCCAGCCAAAATGAACTCGAAGTGAAGTTCATTTTGGGAATTCAAAAACCGTTTGTTTACCGAAGTTTGCTCCGGCTGCTAAACACCTTAGTACCAGCATTGGTCCATGGCAAATTTGTAATATAAAAGCCTATTGCTTAACGCCCTGTGACTAAACAAAGGGCGCCACTGTGAGTGTGCATCCCGACGCGAAAAACGCCACGTGTAAAAGCGCAATTTTTAAAAAAAAGCCTCGGGTTCGTTCTTTTTGGTTTGACAAAAACAACGAAACATATTGGTGTTGCGAGATTGGCGCTTTTGCTCACGAGTCTGGAGCTTCTGAAGTTACAGTAAAACACAACTTGGGGGCACTCAAACACAAAAACGGTCTTGCTGAGCACACACACACACACACAACAGCGAAGAAATACGCCAAGTAGCGTCTACTCTGCTGGGAAGAAATAAGATGCTAGGCAAGATGAATGTAGATCTGCTGGTCTCGTTGGTGTCGGAACATAAAGAACTAGATGACAAACGCGACAGCAACTACAAAATAGGACTATTTCTGTTTTACATTAACCATCATCATCTAATGTCGGGGGAAAAATTTGCATGTTCTTTCGGCTCATCGTCAGTGAAAATCTCTTCGGTGTGAACACAAAAAAACGTGTTGAAAAAACGCTGGAGAATAACATGCGTCGATATCTGTCCCGGTGTGTACGGCCCTTAAAGGGGTGATGAACTGAGAAATCAAATTTTCCTTGAGCTTTTGACATTTAAGAGGTCATCATATTATAAGAATATCCTGTAAGTTTCAGAACTGAAAATGTCCTTGTTAGTCCAATAAAAGCTTTTATTAACACCGGGCTCACAAACAACATAGATGCCTACCTCGTGATGACAAACCGGATCGAGCTACCGAGCAATACAGAATATTGTGCAGTGCCTGGTTGTGGAAGAAGACAGTCGCTGCATTAGCTTCCTCTGGATTCCAATAGGACTGCATGGATAAACTTTATTTTTAATGACGTTCCAGCTGATGAGGGTAAAACACCGTCCGCCTGTTCGCTTCATTTCACTGAGGATTGTTTTGTCAACAAGACTGGATTTGCAGACCTATTAAGAGTAAAGAACGTGCTGTGCCGTCTATATTGGATCTGACAGGAATGGTGCAACACACGGACTCTGGGTCGAACATGTATGGGTGAATCATTCTGGTCGCCATTTTACAACATTGGACGTTTTCAAAACAATTTCCCCCAAGTGCACCGACGAGTGAGTTGAAACTCATTACAATATGCAAAACTGTTCTCCACTCACAGCAGTGGGCGTTTACTTCCAAGACTTCAGTGCGAAACGCCCATTAAAAACCGAACGTTTTTCAGCTAGGTTCAAAACTAAGGTAGAAAATAGCCTATTACTTATTCATTTAGACGTTTTTGAATGTAAAAACCAAGCGAATGCCATAAGTTGACCTCAGAAAACAATATAAAACCATTTAAAAAGCCAGTTTAAGCCCTTTTAAGGTTTCGCCTTCATTCACGTGAACACGTGGTTCATTTGGTCTGTGCAGTCCTTCAAGGTCAATAACTATATCTCTGCTCACGTATTTCAAACTTTGTTTACCCACAGCACAATAAAATACTGGATTATCAAGATCAGTTCCACTGTCCTGCAGAATTCAGTTCCAACCCTAATCAATCACACCCGCCTGGTTATAGTTGGGTTTCTTTCATTCATAAATCTAACTTTAACCAGAACGATCTTTTTTGAACTCTTCCCCATGTCTTTTGGACCTCAACAAACACTGTCAAAGGGATCAAAAAATGACTTGCAGCAACATCTTTACATACGCCTTCATGCACAGAAAAGCCCATGAATAATGCCTTATAATATGTCAGATTTAGTTATTCTTTATAATTAATTATTTAGAATGTTTAGCACATTATAAATAATAAAAAGGGTCTGCACTTTTTTCAGAAGATGCGTTTTATTTTCCTCATGTGTGGAAAGGAAAACCGGTCTGTTTTACAATGCTGTATAGATGCTAAAATAATCAAAAGTGTATTAATTCAAAAGATAGTAGCTGATATACTATTCTTCACTATTTAAAAATATAGTGGAAGAGGAAAGTTTTACACGCCTGTTTGTGATCAGTGTGATAATGAATTGCTACTTCTGGTGGCTATCAAATGAGATCAGAGTTGGTTTCTGTTATTAAAATGCAAGTAAACAAAACAAACTGAGAGAATGAACTAAACATGCTGAAAGAAGGAAATGGGAATATATTACATTCACATTCTTTCTCCAACAGAGAAGTTTATGATGCATTATATTCAGGATGTTCAATTGTTAAGAAAATAACTAATTCGGAGCACATTATGTTTCCTTTTCTTTCTTTCTTTCTTTCTTTCTTTCTTTCTTTCTTTCTTTCTTTCTTTCTTTCTTTCTTTCTTTCTTTCTTTCTTTCTTTCTTTTTCTTTCTTTCTTTCTTTCTTTCTTTCTTTCTTTCTTTCTTTCTTTCTTTCTAGTGTTGTTTTTGGCGGCCTGTTTTAATTTTAGTTTTAGACTAGTCTTTGTGTCAAGCTGACATTTTAGTTTTTGTTAGTTTTAGTCATGTTCATACTCTTTTAGTCTAGTCTAGTTTTAGTCGACGAAAACTGATGACATTTTAGTCTAGTTTTAGTCGACGAAAACCGATGACATTTTAGTCTAGTTTTAGTCGACGAAAACCGATGACATTTTAGTCTAGTTTTAGTCGACGGAAACCGATGACATTTTAGTCTAGTTTTAGTCGACGGAAACCGATGACATTTTAGTCGACGGAAACCGATGACATTTTAGTCTAGTTTTAGTCGACGAAAACCGATGACAATTTAGTCTAGTTTTAGTCGACGAAAACCGATGACATTTTAGTCTAGTTTTAGTCGACGAAAACCGATGACATTTTAGTCTAGTTTTAGTCGACGGAAACCGATGACCTTTTAGTCTAGTTTTAGTCGACGGAAACCGATGACCTTTTAGTCTAGTTTTAGTCGACGGAAACCGATGACATTTTAGTCTAGTTTTAGTCGACGGAAACCGATGACATTTTAGTCTAGTTTTAGTCGACGGAAACCGATGACATTTTAGTCTAGTTTTAGTCGACGGAAACCGATGACATTTTAGTCTAGTTTTAGTCGACGGAAACCGATGACATTTTAGTCTAGTTTTAGTCGACGGAAACCGATGACATTTTAGTCTAGTTTTAGTCGACGGAAACCGATGACATTTTAGTCTAGTTTTAGTCGACGGAAACCGATGACATTTTAGTCTAGTTTTAGTCGACGAAAACCGATGACATTTTAGTCTAGTTTTAGTCGACGAAAACCGATGACATTTTAGTCTAGTTTTAGTCGACGAAAACCGATGACATTTTAGTCTAGTTTTAGTCGACGAAAACCGATGACATTTTAGTCTAGTTTTAGTCGACGAAAACCGATGACATTTTAGTCTAGTTTTAGTCGACGAAAACCGATGACATTTTAGTCTAGTTTTAGTCGACGAAAACCGATGACATTTTAGTCTAGTTTTAGTCGACGGAAACCGATGACATTTTAGTCTAGTTTTAGTCGACGGAAACCGATGACATTTTAGTCTAGTTTTAGTCGACGGAAACCGATGACATTTTAGTCTAGTTTTAGTCGACGAAAACCGATGACATTTTAGTCTAGTTTTAGTCGACGAAAACCGATGACATTTTAGTCTAGTTTTAGTCGACGAAAACCGATGACATTTTAGTCTAGTTTTAGTCGACGAAAACCGATGACATTTTAGTCTAGTTTTAGTCGACGAAAACCGATGACATTTTAGTCTAGTTTTAGTCGACGAAAACCGATGACATTTTAGTCTAGTTTTAGTCGACGAAAACCGATGACATTTTAGTCTAGTTTTAGTCGACGAAAACCGATGACATTTTAGTCTAGTTTTAGTCGACGAAAACCGATGACATTTTAGTCTAGTTTTAGTCGACGAAAACCGATGACATTTTAGTCTAGTTTTAGTCGACGAAAACCGATGACATTTCAGTCTAGTTTTAGTCGACGAAAACCGATGACATTTTAGTCTAGTTTTAGTCGACGAAAACCTATGACATTTTAGTCTAGTTTTAGTCGACGAAAACCGATGACATTTTAGTCTAGTTTTAGTCGACGAAAACCGATGACATTTTAGTCTAGTTTTAGTCGACGAAAGACATGGTCTAGTTTTAGTCAATGAAAATTGTATTTTAGTCTCTTTTTAGTAGGCAATTCTTTAACCCAGTCAATATATAAGAAGCCTACCTAGTAGTAGGCTAGCCTATAGACGAAACCAATTTTTTTCTTTTAGCCAAACCCATTTCAAACGATCTTATCTTCTTATAGTTATCTTCTTATATTATTGTTACCTTATAGACTCAAGAATGCATCCAGGAAGACGCTCTGAATTGAATTTACAACATATTTATTTTACCAACCAAACATGTTAGTAGCCTACACACATGATGAAATTAAAGTTTTTCCAGATGTCATTTTTTCTTTTTCTCCCAAAGACGAATCCCTTTCTCTGTAACAGACTTAACTTTGTTTGTTGTCATTTATGCTAAAGCCTGTTTCATACCCATTTGCAGTGCGTATTTTTCCCGCACCCATGTTACAGTTATGATTAGCGCTCATACCGCGCGCTCTGGGAGCGGTGCGTGCATAACAGCAGAGCAGAGATCTACACACTACCTCAACAATGTGACAAAATGGATGTAGGCTAATTTAAAATACTGATTTGAAATAAAAAATAGAGGATAAATGTTATGATTGTGGTACAGCCGTAGATCAGTTGCGCACTGCAAACGCAGCACATGTGAAAGCAATAACGCGCGCTGCTCCTGCATACACACTGCAACACGAACCGCATACACGCTACACACGGAGTGTGTGTGAAACAGCTGTAACTCACGCAACTGCTTCTTCTAAATAATGCCGCGAGTGGGGCTTGAGGATCTGAAGTCGCATGCGTTTGCACAGTGCGATCTAATGCAGCCCCTGAAGTGACACGGGAAACAGAAATGCTGCATACTAATAATGCAAGTAGGCTAAGGGAGACGAGATAACGTTAACATTTCGTCTCGTCTCGTTTTGGTCAACGAAAATGAAGAGACATTTTAGCATAGTTCTTATTTTTGTAAACCACATTTAGTCTCGTTTTTATTCGTCAACGATATTGCATTATACATTTAGTTATAGTCATCGTCACACGACCAGCATTTACGTTGCGTCTCGTCTCGTTTTCGTCACGTGATAAAGGTTCGTTGACGATGATATTTAGTCATAATTTTCGTTGACGAAAGCAACACTATTTCTTTCTTTCCCTCCCTCCTTCTATTACTGGTAATAAATCTATTTAAAGGGTTATTTCATCCAAAAATTTAAAATCTGTTCATCTCCAGAAGATCAATGACGATGTTTTTAATGAAATCTGAGAGATTTCGGTCCTTCCATTGACCTTTATTAGTTCATAAAGAGATTTTAAAACGAATCCATATGAATTGAGTGGTTTAGTCCAAGTTTTCTGAAGAAGAGACTCGATTGCTTATATGAACAGATTTAATTTATCCTTTTATTCACACACAAACATTCATCAACGCACACGTCAGTTGTGGTAAACAGAAGCTCAAGCATGTTCGCCTGAAGTGGAGAACCAATGAGGTTCATTCTCGTGTAACGCAGCACGTTTGCGCTTCAGCAAGAGTCAATGAGATTTGTTCTGTTTGTTCGCTGATCAATATTTAAATGTGAATAAAAGCCTAAATTAAATCTGTCGTATAATACATTTTGTCCAGTTAATTTTTTTAATTTAGTATGAAATGAGACCTGAAATGATTATTTTCTAATGACTGACTTGAATTTTTCCATGTTGTGGACAATCAAGTTCTGTTGTCGTGTATACCGATATTAGGGATATTGTATATCTGCTGTCTTGTGTCTGTAAACTGGAAGGTGATCTGTGAACTGTCCTGACCTCAGGTGTTTTTGGTGCGGAAGCTAATGGGTCCGGATGCCGGTCAGCTTTATGCAATGAAGGTGCTCAAAAAGGCATCTTTAAAAGGTCAGTGATTTGTCAACACATTTCTGCAACACATGTGATGGTATACTTATGTTTATTCATTATTTGTGTGTGCATGTTGTGTTGCAGTGAGGGACAGAGTTCGCACTAAGATGGAGAGGGATATTTTGGTGGAGGTCAATCATCCTTTCATTGTGAAGTTGCACTATGGTAAGACTCAGATGATTTGTGTTTCTGAGTAATAGTTATTAGGTTGTTTACTCAACTCCCAACACGTTTGGAAAGATGTTGCTTTGTTTTATTTGGTTTGTTGGAGAAATTTTATTGGTGCAGACAATTTGCAATGAAAACATGAAATGTACTTGTTATTGTCTTATTTTGTGTGGTTTTAGATCCCAAAATCAGGACAAACGTTTCTAAAGTATAAACCATAATATTAATATAATTATCAATAATTGATAATATGAAGCGTCCTCTTTATGTCTTGCAGATAATCTAGTTAAGTAGATAATCTACTAAAATCCATTAAATAACACTTTAATACAGTTAATATAGCCTTAAAGGGATAGTTCACCCCAAAATGATAATTCTGTCAGTAATAACTCGCCCTCATGTTGTTCCAACCCTGTAAGACTTTTGTTTATCTTCAGAAAATAAATTAAGATATTTTTGATGAAATCTGAGAGCTGGATCACTCCTCCATAGGCTTCTTAAGGGATCAAACCTTGCCGGCCCAAAAGTTATGAAAGATATCATTAAAATAGTCCGAGTGACTACACCTTAAAGGGCACCTATTATGGCATTTAAAATGTTCCTAATATTGTTCTGGGAGTCCCCAACAACAGTTTTACATGAATGCAATGACAAAAAAACACTTTTGTTGTCTTATAATATGCATTTATTTTTACCTGATTTGCTCACCGACTCCCAAATGATTCGTACAACGACTCATTTTTCCAAATCACTCCTTTGCGTGACGCTAATCGGCGGTGATTGGTCAGATGACAGACCCAGTCAGTTATTGTTTGTTAGCATAACGCATAAACATATTGATAAAGCACTGCTGTACTACAAGACGATCTATTCTTTATGACAACTCCAATAACAGCGACAAACATTTCACATATTTAAAAAAATTGACATTGGAGACCTAGAAGCTGCGCTGAGCGTAACTCACACACACACATACTTATTGCGCCTTCCCTCCTCGCGCCCCGACGCTACACAACCCATAAAAGCAACAATTATTAATAATACTTACAGGTTGTGATTCGGAGAAGAAAGCTGATCCATATACACTGGGTAGTGAGACCTCCTTCAGGAACAACCGGCTTGCGAATCCACATTTGAATTAATTTGTGTTTTTGAGTGATTCGTCATTGAAATGATGAGAACACAATCGGGCTATACTGTTGTAGTATCGTTCTCGACATGATGCTATTCAGCTGAAGTATTTGTGTTCTAGACTTCAAGTTTACACTTCCGTCTGCGCGCGCAGTAACTGGGCGCGGCTAATGAGCTAATGTTTCGTATCTACGTCACTACGAAACAGCTAATGACTCGTTTCAAAAACAATTCATTTCATAGACTCAGAGTCGACTCTCACTTCTGAAAAACAATAACTTTATATACGGTGCACTTTCAGATATAAAACTTTGTAGGATGTTTTCATTGCCTTAGAGCTGTATTCCACACCACATGAACAGCCATTTTCAAAAATCCATGACAGGGGCTCTTTAAGTTTATCAAGCGACAAGAATACTTTTGTGCGCAAAAAACAAACAATAATAACGACTTTGTTCAACTATTCAGTTTCCTCTCTGTGGGCCTCGATTTCACGTAGTGAAACTGCGCAGCACTTTTGTGTTGTACGTCACACGAAGGCTCACTATTTTCCGACGCTGGTCATGTGTGTGATGCGTGTGACGTACAACCTAAAAGCTTTGCGCAGTTTCACTACGTTTAACTTTTCTGGGCCGGCCAGTTTCGATCCCTTATGGAGGAGTGATCCAGCTCTCAGATTTAATCAATAATATCTTAATATTTGTTCTGAAGATGAACGAAGGTCTTACGGGGTTGGAACAACATGAGGGAGAGTAGGATTGGGTATCGAGAATCGAGTATCGATTGAAACCGAGACTAACTTTTCGTTTTTCCCGCAATCGTTCAAAAGTAAAAATTTCGATTCCTAGTTTCGATATTCGCAGTCCGCCGAGCGGAAGAAGAAACCGCTGAACAACACCAACGAAGAAGCGTCTACCGGAAGTGTTGGCATAAACACGTGAGTCGAACATGAGTAACTTACGTCGGCGATCCAAAGTGTGGCTTCACTTTTCTAAAAATAACGAAATCAACAAAAGGAGTATTTTTACAGAAGGAGTATTTCCTTAAGAAAGGATTATTTCCTTCAGAAAGGCCGTTGGTTAGCAAGGTTAGCTAAACTTTTTTGACCCTGCCTTTTAAAAGAATCGGAATCGAGAATCGTTAGGAACCGGAATCGAAACAAGGAATCGGAATCGGAATCGGAATCAGAATCGTTCAAATTCAAACGATACCCAACCCTAAGGGAGAGTAAAGGCCATTGCACACTGAGTCCGAAATTTTCGTATGCGTTTTTTCGTGTTCGTCAGCCTAAAAATTCGTCATGCACAGAAACATTGCACACTGAGTCCGATGCGTATTTATTAAACCTTTGCGGGAAAAAACACACAAAAATACAAAATGGATTCGTCAAGCAGTGAGGATGGTTTTGTTGCCCTCTATCTTATTGAACAGAGAAGAAAGAGAAAATATTGGGTCCATCCAATTCTGAAATTGCGCCGAGAGGAAGGAGAGTTCGACTTCCTTATCAAGGAGTCGCAAATTTATCCCGAGCGATTCATAATTTACTTCAGAATGTCACCGTTTTATGCGAATCGAGCCACATATTAAAAAGAAGACCACCAATTTCCGTGAATCAATTGATCCTGAACTGAGACTCGCAGTATGTCTAAGGAATGGACACACAAACACACAGGAACACGCGCGGCCCGGCGGAAGCGCTAGGCAGACAGAACAGCTGTATAGGCTACAGGTTATAGGCCTATATTGTATCCAAAGAATACATTAGTTATCGAATTGGCTGCTCAATCACACCTTAATTGATCCGACGTTTCAGTGCGTTTTCCTTTTCTAATCCGATTGAGAGAGCATGTAAACACTTGATCGAATTGAAAACCGAAACTGAAAGGACTGCGCATGTGGACTGATGTGTGGAACGAGCTCCCCCCGGTCCTGAATTGTCAAAAAAAACCCTCTCAAAACGCTGGCTGTGGATACAAAAAACGCAGAAAATCGAAGCCGATCCGATTAATTTTATGACGAACGAAAGTTTCAGAGGCGGTGTGCAATCGAACGTGCGAAAATTTCGGATGCGAATTTCGGACTCGGTGTGCAATGGCCTCAATTACTGATACAATTTTCGTATTTTAAAAAACTAACCCTTTAAAGGAACACATTTAAATAAGTTTCTTGATCCTTTGCTGCATTGTTTTATGGTATGGTTGACTTTTCCATGGAATTACCCTTGATTGACTTCTAGGTGTGATTATCTGATTACTTTTTTTCACTCCCCCACTTTTTTACAGCCTTTCAGACAGAAGGGAAACTCTATTTAATTTTGGATTTTCTCAGGGGTGGGGATGTATTTACTCGTTTATCCAAAGAGGTAAGCATCGTGTGATGTACTCTTAACAGTTTCTGTGTCTGATTTATGATGTTGATGTTAACAGACTAACAGCTCATTCTATAACTATTTTGTATTGCTATTTCCCCCCACAACAATTGATTGTTTGTAATCCAAATGTCTTATAAAGTGTAATGTCCTCTGCCAAATTTTCACTCGTGTTCATTTGCAGGTTTTAAATGCTTTATATTATAAACTTGAGGCCTGTTCTCACCCAGAGCAATGCAACCAGTTAATGCACCAAAATGATAAACCGATAACTCAAAGTGAAATTTTCTTGCGTTCATTCACATGCTTGAATGCTGGACTCATTTGACAAAGTACACCACAAAGTACACATTTGCTTTTGCAGTCAGTGTGTTGGGGTGCAGAGTTGAGAACTTGTCGCAGTGAAAATTTGTGTTCATTGTTAACAGGCCTGTAGTCTGTATGCATTGCCAGCCCTTTGTGTGTTTCAAGAACTTTTTCTATTTATTTGTTTGTCTATTTATTGTACGTTTTCTGTACTCTTAACAATGTTGATTCATCTGCTCAGTTTACTGGGGCTCTGATGTAGCATTTCATCATTCCACTCCCTTATATTAGAGAATGGGGCATATTTTTAAACAGCTTCTGTGTGGCAATTCATCTCAACACAGAATTGCTAGGTTTACATTCAACCTATTAATACATTTGTAATCGGATTGGTGGCTCAATCAGTTTGAAAAGCCTTTATGCTCAGTCCGAATCAAATTTTGATGGGATTGATCATGTTCCCATCAATAATGAATGAAGTTTTGCTCAGAATATGTAATGCACATGACGTGTGAATGTGAACGAATATGTGAATCTGATTTAGGCTTTTTCATAATATTAAAGGGTTGGTTCACCCAAAAATGAAAATTCTGCCAGTATTTACTCACCCTCAAGTTGTTCCAAACCTCTGTGTGTTTATTTGTTCTGCTGAACACAAAGGAAGATATTTGGAAGGATGTTTTAGTCAAACAGATCTCATTCCCCATTGACTACCATAGTAGGAAAAAATGCATACTATGGTAGTCAATGGGGAATGAGATCTGTTTGATTAAAACTTTCTTCCAAATATCTTCCTTTGTGTTCAGCAGAACAAATAAACACATAGAGGTTTGGAACAACTTGAGGGTGAGTAAATACTGACAGAATTTTCATTTTTGGGTGAACTAACCCTTAAAATTGGATTGGATTCATTTGGAAAATTAGTGGATGTAAACCCACCTAATCAAATACGTTTCTCAGCTGTATTTGCCAGTAAATGCATTGTTAAAATAGAAAAGTAATGTTGATTATTTAAAATAACTGCAAATTCCTCTAGTAACATTGATTTTATAGCATCCATTAATTGTTAACCCAACATTAATATTCATTTCGAACAAATATGCTTGGCGTTTATCCATCTTTTTCTTTGTCGTTATGATAATGTGTATTATTGTTGTTGTGTGTGTGTGTGTATGTGGTCTTTGATGAGAGAGTAAATTTGTCCAGTTCTTACTAGGTTATGTTTACAGAGGAGGATGTGAAATTCTACCTTGCAGAGCTGGCCCTTGCATTGGATCATCTACACAACCTAGGCATTGTTTACAGAGACCTGAAGCCTGAAAAGTAAAGTATCCCCCTTCACCTCTCTGCATTTCTCTCGCTCCCTCTTTCTCTGTGTGTGTAGAGTAGAAACCATACTCTCTCTCTTTCTCTTTCTGGCATTTCACCTGCCCTCTCTTTTTGATCTTTTATTAAAGCTGCAGTCCGTAACTTTTTGGGGTTAAAACATATCCAAAATATATTTGTGCAAATACATAACCAGCCATTGTTCAAAACTATCTGCTTGCCTTAGCTCGATTCAAAACTGTTCGCTTGTAATAATGTTTTTAATTCCAGTGGGACTGGTGGATTTCTGAGGGAAATTCGAGCATGTCTTTGCGTCATTACGTCACCTCAGTACACATAGTAAAGTAAAGTCACCTTCATTTATACAGTGCTTTTAACAATAGATTGTTTCAAAGCATCTTTACAGTGATAATGATTGATTGATTCACTTCCGTCAAAGCGATCATTAGTTATTAACTTAGGGGTCGCTAACACAACACCGTTTTAACGAAACTCTTAAATTGTCTCTACGCAAACTTTAAAAACGCGAACCTGTGAGAACGCTGATGGTGTGCGCATGCGTTATTAAGAGTTCATTCTATAGGTATGCACGTTTGAATATACAGTATATGCACTGCCATGTAGTCCTTCCCTAAAAAAACAACCCTTAACAAACTACTTGTCTGGCCTTAAGTTATAATACAGAATTTTTTCTCCTCGGCGTAGCCACATGAATCGTAATTATCCCAACAACGATTATCTGGTACAGAGGTAAAAGGGAGGAGGCCTTCACAAGGGCGAGACTAGTGACACTTCAGGACTGCGTTGTCTTCGCGTCCAGGCGCAGGCCCTTCATCAGATCCGGATCCGGTGGACTGCGATAAACCTCGGGATAGACAGAGAGACTAATTTTAGGGTAGACGGCATTCTTCTTATGATGTAACGAGAACATCAGGATTTATTGGAAGTGTTCCGGCTGACCTAATCTATGTAGCCTAACATTGAGTTATAGAAGTCTATAGTGTGTTATGTAGATGCAAGGTCATACTGTGCGTTCACACCGGACGCGAACAGCGCGTCAAATTCGCGCCTACCGCGTATAGTTATACGCTTGAACACTTTGAATTTATTCACGCGTCAAGAGCGAAATTGACGCGTGTAAAAACAAAAGTTTGAAGCTAAATTTACGCGCTTCAGAATCTAAACCCGTTGGCGGCCATCTTTTTTATGATATTCGAGCATTCATCGAGAGAGTCACCGCTCTGTATTTGCTCTATAGAGCAGAACACCAGTGTGGGGTTCATCATCGCCGTATTTGTGTCCACCGGACCCTTTGGAGGCGAACCGTTTGGCGAGTTTCACCATTTGCTCTCACGTCCAGACACGAACTTATGCACATGTATGTTGGTTGTCTTTACATTTATAATAATATTTCATATAATCTAGATATGGAATAAATAACATTCAATACAAAATGAACATGTCTCGTATTTTGAAATAAAGTTTAAGTGCTAATATTTGTTTTTTTTGTGCATTAGAACCACACCAGGCATTTAGTCATATTACAAAATAATTTATTGAAGCATCCAGATACTTCACCACGTGAGCAAGCAGCTAGGCTCCTGATTGGTTCAGATTTTTCAACTCTGGCGGAAAACACGAATTCGCGTCAAACGCGTGAATGCACAAATAGCACTAATTAAATCATTCGCGTAACGCGCCAGATGTTCAATCCGCGCCATACGCCCGAACGAGGCGTATTCGTGTCTACCACGCCACAGTCTACGGCCCATTCGCGGCAAAGGATTTTTTTACGAGCGTAACGTGTCTTTGCATTGACTTAACATTGAAATCACTCGCGCCTGACGCGCTATTCACGTCCGGTGTGAACGCACCAATAGAGATGTGTTCGTATTTTAAAGAGAACCAGTCCTAAGGAACATTAATTTGTCGGTGTGATAATTCGAAATTAGACTGCACTGAAATGGGAACTGAACTACAAGTAGCCCTAATACACATTAAATGTAGTCACGCAATGCTGATGTTGTTAAAGGGTTAGTTCACCCAAAAATGAAAATTCTGTCAGTATTTACTCACCCTCATGTTGTTCCAACCCCGTAAGACCTTCGTTCATCTTCGGAACACAAATTAAGATATTTAAGATATTAAGATCGCTCCTGCATACAGTCCATAGGCTTCTTGAGGGACTGGCTCTTGCTGTCCCCGAAAAGTCATTAAAGACATCGTTAAAATAGTCCAAGTGACTACAGGGGCTCAATCTTAAGTTTATCAAACGACGAGAACACTTTTGTGCGCAAAAAACAACAAAAATAACGACTTTATTTCAACTATTCACTTCCTTCTCCATGAGCCTGTAAGTCAGTTAACGTAGTGTGATTGCGTAGAGCTACGTCACACGTAGGCTCACTATTGGCCGACGCTGGTCATGTGTGTGTGATGCGTGTGACGTACAATAACAGAAGCTTACGCTATTAAACTAGTAACCTGACTCGCGCAGAGGGAGAAATAAACGAATAGTTGAAATAAAGTCGTTATTTTTGTTGTTTTTTTGCGCACAAAAGTGTTCTCGTCGTTTGATAAACTTAAGATTGAGCCCCTGTAGTCACTTGGACTATTTTAACGATGTCTTTAATGACTTTTCGAGGACAGCAAGAGCCAGTCCCTCAAGAAGCCTATGGACTGTATGCAGGAGCGATCTTAATATCTTAAATATCTTAATTTGTGTTCCGAAGATGAACGAAGGTCTTACGGGGTTGGAACAACATGAGGGTGAGTAAATACTGACAGAATTTTCATTTTTGGGTGAACTAACCCTTTAATAACAATTTGAGAACAAAGTGTAATTTGCACGGTTTGATGTGATATGATAAGCTACCGTTAGGTTTAATCAGCGCAATTTACTGTAGTACTTTTATTCCCTTAGTTAGAGCAAAAGTGGATGTTACTAGTTCAGATGACATTTTCCGGTGAAAATTATTATGTTGGTCATACTCGCAAAAGGTAGAATCTGTGATTTGTGATTGCTAGTATCCACACCGGCGGTGATTGACAGCCACAAACTCTCCTCAAACATTGTGTCCATCCGCGCTGTGCCGTGCGGAGGCACAACCCACGTAAAGTTGATAATTCTGCGAATTACTGCAATTGCAGATTTCGAACATAGATGGCGACAGAGGAAAAAATACGGACGGCAGCTTTAAGTAAGGATGAATATGTCTGACGGAATCAATGTGAAAGATTATAATCGAGAGGTTTTGAATTCTTCGTCTGATTTTGTTTGTTGACTCTTGTTTAGTTCATGTATATTTGTATCTGTATTGGAGAAATGTGGTCTTAATTTTCAGCATTTTGCTTGATGAAGCTGGACATATCAAGTTAACAGGTACGTACAATTGTCCCCTTATTACATTACTTCCCTGCCTGTTGAAGTTGTGCATGTAGATAGACGTACATTTGCAATGTATTACATGTACTGTTAGCGTTTCATCCTGAATTATGGTGTGTTTGGGTCGTAGTCAGATGGGGGTCTTTGTCAAACTCTGCCACTGGAGCGAAGCGATTAGGGTATCGATTCAGACGTCCCGATTCGATTCTCTAATAAATTTGACTCTCATTTTTCAATTCAATGAATTAAAGGATTACATTTTCACTGGCCCCACCACAAAAAATGTAATAAATGAATATAATAGTTCTTGTTTTTGACAATATATCCTTGTGTTGTAAGTAAGTAATAAATAAGGTTATGACACCCTTAATTTTAGATACCAGTGAAATTTAACAATTCTCGATTCCAATTTCAATACCACAGCTAAACCTACTAAAATAAATTTCAAAGATTATTCAAAACAAGTAAACGGCCATTAATAAAAAATAAAAAAAGACAAATGACAAACGAGCAATAACACATAAATGCAATAAAACAAAGTAGGGGTGTGACGGGTTCACAAGAACGAGGCGATTTTTGCTCAATTTTCCAGAAATCCTCAATGACAAAATTCATAGAAAAATATTATACAGTTGCTTTTTGAAATGTTTTAACTAATCTTTTAATGCATGTAATGTCAGGTAGTGCTGTAGCGGCGCGTCGATGACGTCGATTATTCGACGTCAAAATTGCGTCGACGTCATATTTTTGCGTCTTTATTTATTTATTTTTTGCATGTTCCCGGCGGTCCAGCTTGCCACACTCACGTGGGAGACCGAAACATTTCAGAATAGAGGACGAAGACAACTAGAAGTGAATGTGCTATCCGTTAAATGAATCACACACAGTAAACAAACCCTTAAGAAAAAAAATTGCAATTTAGATGCGCAAACTGGGTGCCGGTGTGGTGAGACGTACAAGCTCGGGCAGATTCGGCTTGAAGTCGCTCCCGGACGCGGCGCCGGGCGCGCTGTTACAAAAAAAAAGCCGTACACAGAGCCAGCCACAGTCTTCCTGGTCTTGCGCACCCAACGCGCCATTTTTGCCGCGCGCACATTCGCGCTCGTGCGGACGTGTCGAGTATAAACAAGGCTTTACTCCGTGTCAGCACGCGCTCGGATCAGTAGGTGCACAAACCTCTCCCGATTCATCTCCAGCAGTAGCAGCCTCCGATCGCACCACTAACTCCGCCTCCGTTTCCCTCCTCAGCTGATATTAATATTTAAACATTCTCTATGATAAAAAATGTTTGAAAAAAATATTTTAATAACACGGTTTTGGCGGTTGTAGAGTTATAATGATGGTGTTCAAATACATAATATTAGACTAACGTTAGCCAGCTTATAGTATCTTGATTCAGTATGCCAGTATTTATTTGAGATATTGTTTTTTTTTTTATTAATTGAGCAGCAGAAAAAATATTCTTTGTATTAGTCGTCCAATTAGTCATTAGATTAGTCGACTAATCGATAAAATAATCGCCCAACTAATCGTTTAGTTAATAATCGTTTACCCCAGCCCTAATGTCAGGTCTCCTTTGAGTATGAATTATCAAATGCATTGAAAGAAAACAATATACAAGCACTGTAAAAGGTTTTACTGACTGCCTGTATGATTTCCCATGAGTCTCCTCAGACCTTACTGTACATTTATGAGCTTTCAGAACTTCTGATTGAGGCTGTGTGTGACGACCTAACTGAACTCCTTTACACAAATTGAACAGAAAGAAAGAGTATAAATAAGTTTTCTCTTAGTCTTATTAAGTGCAAACAATAAGTGCAGGTGCGACCATAATCAAAGTGCTGTAGCGCACAGACCTTTCATCATTGTTGTGAAATTACATTTTGCAATTTTATTTTGCACCGGCAGTTATAGGGTTAATGCGGTAAGTTCGGAAAAGGCTTTTACATTAGGTTATAAGGCTGTGTGTCCACCAAAGCGCTTTTAGCCAGCTGAAAACGCCAGACGCTTTGGTTGATGTCGTTGTACAGAAAGAATGTTGTGACAGTTGGGCAGTGTGGTTTAGTCCCGCCCCTTCTCCACTGTGATTGGACAGGTTTTATCAAAAGTTTAACATTTTTCAACTCTCGGCGACCAGTAAAAACGCTGGGCGTTATGCTAATGGCGCTTAAAAAACGCGGCGCTCCCATTGAAAACAATTGAAAACATACGCCAGGTGCGGGGAAAAACGCTTTGGTGGACACATGGCCTAATGGTTTTTATTTTTGATAAAACAGCAAAACGGCAGTTGAGGCGAATGGAAGTGTAGCGTCGGAATATTATAGCTTATTTCACCCTCACGCTCCGCCATGGCGAGATCGCGAGACGACGGGAAATCGCGTCACATTTTAGATCTCGTGGTCACACCCCTTGAACAAAGATACAAATGACATAATTAATTCTTTTAAGGTTTTACGTGTTGGTCTAACAGTAGTTCTCAGGCACAAAAAATCAAATTAAGTATTCAAATGTAAAATAACTGCATATCTCTCACTGTGCAAATTAAATAAAGGTTGATCCTTATTAAAGTTACAAAAACGTTATGTTGACATGGGAGAATTTTATTCAGTTGGTTACTTTGAATGATGACTACACACTTGAGTTGTAACTTGCCCACACTGTTGTGCATAAACTAGAACTTCTTTAATTAATCTATATTTTTTTTTCATTTATTGTTATTATCTTGATTGTTGCATTTATTTATGTATATATTTTATGTATAAGAAAACCAATAAAAACATATAAAAAAAAAATATGTTACAAAAACCTGGATACTCAAAAGTAAATTTGTGTGAATTCGTCCGTTTAAGCGCAGGTAAACGAGAAAGAGAATTCATTTGAATATTTTGAGAATCGATATCGAATCAACCATATTTTAAAAATTGATTAATTGAACAATTTATTGTTTTACCCGTCCTGCAGACCTAACACCAATTTTCAATTAAACTCTGCAGGACGGTGTCTCTCCAAGAGCAGAGTTCGACAGCCCTGCTTTAGCTTTGTGACTTGATGAGAATATGACTAATGTGCTGATGTGCCTCTTGCAGACTTTGGGCTCAGTAAAGAATCCGTAGATCAGGACAGAAAAGCGTACTCTTTCTGTGGCACTGTGGAATATATGGCCCCTGAGGTGGTCAACAGGAGAGGTCACACACAGAGTGCTGACTGGTGGTCTCTCGGCGTCTTAATGGTAGGAGCTCAGCGCAGCAACACCTTAATGACTCTCACTGATGAGCATGTTTGGAAAATGGCAAGTTATATATTAGGGATGAAACGGTTAACGGTTTGACAATAAAACCAGGATAAAATTCCTTTACTCTTTTGGTATTTTTTTGTACGTTTTAACAATACTGTGTATACTTTTTTGGCTGTGCATAGTTTGTATAATTTAACATTTAATTGAATATTCAACAATAATGTTAATCTGCCTGCTTTGACACTATTATACAAGAAATGAATGATGACATCACGGTTTACTCCAGAGCGGCTATATATATATTAGGGCTGTAACGATACACCAAACCCACGATTCGGTTCGTATCACGATTTTTGACCCACGATTCAATTCGTATCGTGATTCTATCACGGGGGCGGGGCTTGAGTTGAAAAGAGATTGACAGTCGCTGCATTTGCTTCCTCTGGATTCCAATAGGACTGCATGGATAAACTTTATTTTTAATAACGTTCCAGCAAAATGAGGTAAAACATCATCCGTCTGTTCGCTTCAATTCACTGAGGATTGTTTTGTCAACAAGACTGGATTTGCAGACCGATTAAGAGTAAAGAACGGTGCTGTGCCGTCTATATTGGATCTGACAGGAATGGTGCAACACACGAACTCTGGGTCGAACATGTATGGGCGAATCATTCCGGTTGCCATTTTACAACATTGGACGTTTTCAAAACAATTTCCCCCAAGTGCACCGACGAGTGAATTGAAACTCATTATAATATGCAAAACTGTTCTCCACTCACAGCAGTGGGCATTTACTTCCAAGACTTCAGTGCGAGACACCCATAAAAACTGAGCGTTTCTGAGCTGGGCTCAAAACTAGGGTAGAAAATAGCCTATTACTTATTCATTTTGATGTTTTTTTAATGTAAAAACCAAGCGAACGTCATGAGTTGACCTCAGACAACAATATAATAAAAATTAAAAAGCCAGTTCATGACCCTTTTAATTATAAAATGCATGTGTAGACTTATATTTTTCTAATGTCTGGACATGTACTAGAATTTATTAAGGGAGTAGGCTATGGATATATAAACGGAAGTGTCAATATATTGGTATTAAATGCATTTTCTGAGAATTTATATTTCTAGTTTTGACTGCAAATGTCACATCCATAACGCTGAAATTTCCAAATTTTAAATAATTTATTGTTTATAATTTATTTAATAAATTAATTGAACTAGTTTTGTGGTGTAGGTCTGCGTATTTCTATAATGTTAACTTCAAATGATACTACTAGTAATTTAAAGATGTGGTAGCATTGGATCTGGACTCTAGGAGGATAACTCTGGGAGTTGGAAGAGGTGTGTCGCGATTCTGCCTTCTCACACCGCGGCACCGGTTTGTGGACCTGAGTATCGCGATTCCGATTTTATATTGCGTTTCTTTACAGCCCTAATATATATATATATATATATATATATATGAACTAAATTAATAACTTTGTTTTTTTTGTTTTTTTTTTTTTTTTTTTTTTTACAAAAATGTAACATCACTGAACTTAACCTGGACTGTGACTTGACTGTGTAATATTGGTAACATAATCATTTTGGTCACTATAATCGTGAAATGATATATTCATACCGTTTTATCTTTATTATATATGCAATACTGTTCTCTGAACCAAAGGAGCAAGGTGCAACGCGGAGAACATCACAATTGACGTAGAGTCTGTGCTGCGGAAATATGCCAATATTGGACAGTCCGTCAGTGGTCGTGGGCGGAGCATAAGCAAAATTAAATCATATTGCTCAGGAAATCCAAACGGCTTGATTATTGAGTGTTTATGCTTTTTGACGATAAAAAAAATCCTTTATACATTTTTTTTCTTTTTCATTGTATGGTGGTTGTGTCCACACACTGCAAAGACACATTTTTATGCAAACACCATATAAAAGTAAATTTTGCATCCGATGACATTTTAAAAAATCTGGAAAATTTTCAGCATTTGATGAAAAGATAATCTGGAAAGATGTGAGTTTGATACTGGGCATTTGAAGGAGTGTTACCTAGCGCTAGGGTTAGATTTTTATAGAGGTGAGTGCCTGGTCCAGGAGGGCTCAAGTGTGTTAGGGCGGCTGGTCTTTATGTATGTGTTATACAAATTAAATGGACTGAAAGAGAACATTTACCTTAAAATCACATTTTTGGATTCCCAGACAATCATGCTTTGATAATTTGCCCAAGTAAATGCAGCTTGTCACGTTGTTTGATGGTTGATTTATTTTTTTTTTCCAGTTTGAAATGCTGACCGGCACATTACCGTTCCAAGGAAAAGACAGGAATGAGACTATGAACATGATTCTCAAGTGAGTGTGCCTGTTAAATCATGCAAGTCTATGTGATGCTTAATTAATACTTTGCATGTGACGTCACAAGTACTGGCTGGTGGGCAAGAGCGTCATTCTCCATCAGTGAAACCCAGTAAACTAGTCAAGGATCTTACCAGGACGCCGCCAGTTTTTATACAAAAGTTGGTGTTTCGAGGTGTAAACGATACGCGAGATAGTTGCTGTGCGATTGGTTGTAATAACCTGATGAGATAAGCAACCTTCACAGTATAATGTTAGACATCTGTGAAGTGATCATTCCATCACTCAAGGTCATTTTAACATTTGTTTGAAAACAATGGGTGTGTATGATCATGTAATTAATCGTGTCTTTAAAGGATAATTCCGGTATTTAACACCTTGAGTCTATTTTGTAGTTTGTTTTGAATGAAATAGAGTGGTGGAGTGGTCCTGTCTCGACTTTTTGACTATTTTAGAATCGTCCGTGACGGCGTTAGACTGGCTGTCTATGGGCATGCACAAACATATCCTTAAAACAACCCTTAACGTTCATTTTCAAAACTGTGCAACTCACCGAGTGGTTGGTGGTGTTTGTTGATGATTAAAAACAAATATATCGGCGCAGTGTATGCTTTCAATCCGTGTTGTTTGCTATAGTGGAACTATTTTTTCAGATACCTCACAACCGCGTATAAACTTCCGTTCGATATTTGAGTCTGAAGCGTTAGCCAGTGGTGGAGGAAGTACTGAATCTCAGTACTTAAGTAAAAGTACAAATACCCAGATAAATATTTACTTTTGTAAAAGTAGAAGTAACACAATGACAACCATACTTAAGTAAAAAGTAAAAAGTACTTTATTTTAAATGTACTTTAAGTATTAAAAGTAAAAGTACTTGCATAACAATTGATTCTCTTAATGTCTATTTTCTAATGATTAATAAAACATTTAATTCTAACTCATTCAACCTAATAGCCTACTCCTATAATGATGTTCAATAATGATGGAAAAAAATGTCACCATTTCTGAAACAAGCTTGCAATTAGGAAATATCATGCTTATCCTTACTATATGTTAATAACTAGGGATGCACCGATACCACTTTTTTGGAAAACGAGTACGAGTACTTGCATTTCAGTACTCGCCGATACCGATACCGAGTACTTAATAAAAAAACAAAAAAAACATGATTTAAATATTTTTATATACGGGTTTTTAGGTCCTTGATTAAATTACTTGGGTAACACTTTATTTCGATAGTCCACTTTACTACGATCAGCTTAATATCTGATAACACTTTATTTATTTGGTCCCCCAACAGACATTCAACTGACTATAAGTAACTTGGCGACTACAAGTAAACTTATTCTCCTAATCCAAAGGCATTCACTTTGAAATTGTTCCACACCAGTGATGCACGGGTTGATCCAAAATGAGCGGGTGCCTGCGCCGCGGTCACCCGCGGTTACCCGCAGTTACGGGTCATCCAAAAATATTTTTAATGATATTCGGGTCGCGGTCGGTCAGGTCGTTTGGAAAAAAATGCCAATTAAACCTTTGTATTTATATAGTACTAGATAGAATTTTCTATGAAATATATAGGCCGAATTTATTTATTGGCTGAATAACTGGCACGAAGATGACACACAAGCTCAGTTCTCAGTTCTGTACTGGTGTGATCCGAGAACCGCTGTACCTCTGCGTTCGTTACTATACGCGGATGCGCAGTATCAGCAGTATCAACAACATGTCTCAGTTCAGTGAACTGTTAGAGTAACTGGAGTAAAATATAATTCGGGATATTGGTTTATTTCAACTCGGAGGGACTGTCAGGCATGTCTGAAAGTGAGTAACTGTAGTAACTTGTGGATCAGCACTGACGCAAGACGTGAACTGATGCGAATGATTCAGTTCGATTTAGCGTACTGGTTCGACCGGTTCATTAAAAAGAACCGATTCGTTCACGAACCGGCCATGTCTATGATCACTAGTCTGCAGAGAGATGGAGGCGGCAAGAGAAAAGGTGAAGACTGGGGAGTGGAAGCTCCGCAAATACACAAATAGAAAGAGTAAGTGTGGGAGACATTTACCGAAATAATGAAAGATGATGTAGGCTACGTCTTCTTGCGATGCTGTGTTGTTACACGTAATGGCCCAATGACGCTACGATGAGCATGTACTACTTTTAAAAAATACGGTCAGGAAGAGGGTCGGGTACAATATTTTCTTACTTTTTTTGCGGTCCGAGTAGCGGGCGGGTAGTTGAAAACGTTGGTAGTGTGCGGGTTGTTTATACATTGACCCGCGCATCACTGTTCCACACGGCTGACATGTCTCCCCATCTCCCCGCTCTGAACTGCAGCCGGAGCCTGGGGGTGGGCACTCGGCGCCTGTGATTAACCCATTTCTCAGAACATGGTATCGGTCCCCGGTATCGGGGGACTTTTAACGAGTACGAGTACTTTAGAAAATGTGGTATCGAGGCCGATACCAGATACCGGTATCGGTATCGGTGCATCCCTATTAATAACTATTGGCAGTAAACGCGATTCATTTATGGTGTAATTCTGAACCTCTTGGCTTGCCATAATCCTAACCAAACCAAACATATAATACACACGGTGTGTTTCCTATGCACGTAAAAACAAATTTTCGCGTATGAGTTGCATGATAAACACACTGCGTGTGAGACGCATTTAGTTGATGTATCTATGGCAACCAAACGTCACTGGTGAGACAAACGTGCAACGAACGGACGGTCAGATTACGTTTTGGCAGTGGAAAAACTGATCAGAAAATGTAACGAAAATGTAACAGAAGTTGTAGAAATGTAGTGGAGTGGAAAGTAGAATAATTGCTGCAAAATGTAACGAAGTAAAAGTAAAAAGTATGCACTATTTATTCTACTTAAGTAAAGATGCATGAAAAATGTACTTAAGTAAAGTAACGAAGTATTTTTACTTCGTTACATTCCACCACTGGCGTTAGCACACTCCCGACCACTTGATGGCGACAACCAGGACGTTGTACAGAACACGGTGTCTAGCGCAACGTAAAAAAAGTCACAGACACCGTCGAATATGGCAAGACGGAGAACCGAGCGAAAAGACTACAACCAAATGTAAACAGACCCCTTTCCGTTTTCCTACCTAGCGCAGTAATATCAACGAGCACTGAGTCCTCCAGCAGACATCAATGCGATTGTAAAAAATGACAAATAAAACGCGTCAGAAACGGTATTTCGCTACGCTACTTGTTTCAGAACATCAAGGAACACCACCAACCACTCAGTGAGTTGCACAGTTTTGAAAATGAACGTTAAACGTACAGTATGAAATTTTTGGCCACCAGGGGTCACTCATTTAAAATAATAACAAAAGACGTACTTTGATGACGTCGGGAAAGAGCGTGGGCTCACGGGAGTTGTTGTCGCTGTCAATGACAACCAGCTCAGCTCATGGCATGACATCATCGTTTCACAAAATATACGGATATACGGCATCTCTCTGTAGATTTAGCTTGTCAAGAAGCTTTAAATGCAACCCCAATGTTTACCTGTGTCATGCTTCTCCTGTCCCAAACCCTTCTCGGGTCATATTTTTCACCCGTACTTTGAGCTTTACTGAGCTGGCTGTAGCAGCAGAACGTGCAGGCAAAGCGTAATCGTGGTCCATAACTATAATACAGACCGCAGTAGACGAATATAAATATTTATATTACGCTCCTTCAATGAATGACCTATTTTAGAACATTTTTCATTTATAGGGCGCACCGGATTATAAAGCTCATACTGCTTAGATACTATAAAGATACTGCAGTCAAACGTTTGACTGGGTTTGCGTTATGCATCCACTATGTGCTAAAGGCTAAAGGGAATGTAGTAAGTGCGCGGCGCCGGAGGTGAGGCGTTTATTTAGTAAGCATGAGAGAGCTGAAGCGGGCACGTACATTCGCAGCCTGACTCATAAGAGTATTCAATGTGCGCGGCTCGCTAACAGCAACAGTTGGCTGTTTTGAATAAGACGACACGGTTACTGTGAACGGGGAGCGCTTTATGCGCGAGCAGCACCGGGGACAGTGTCTGTTAAGAGTGAGCGCTCGTGAGCGGGCACGTGATTTACACACATAAAAATACGTACTGCTTTTTTTTCTTCGTCATTTTCTTTGCTTTATTGGCGGTAGTCCAGTGTTCCCCTTTGTGTTTGGCGGTTTCGCCGGGTTCCGCAAGGAAGTTAGAGAAAATAGAGGAGTCAAAGGTTATATGACTGCATAGACGGGCGACGAAACGGAAATAGGTAAACGTCCCTTGTCTTCGAATTAAACTATAAATTTCTCCGTATTTGAAAGTTGGTGGAAACTGTCGGGATAATGTAAGTATACATCTAATATAAATATATAACATAGATACAGTTATTTTTGCTATTTTTAAAGCAGAAAAAATACATATTGTGGCTTTAAGGGTTGTTTTATGGACATGTTTGTGCATGCCCATAGACAGCCAGTCTAAAGCGGTCACAGGCGATTCTAAAATAGTCAAAAAGTCTAGACAGGACCCATTGTCAAAATTTCTAAGTCCACCACTCCATTTCATTCAAAACAAACTACAAAATAGACTCAAGGTGTTAAATGCCGAAATTATCCTTTAAGTTAACCTGTAGTTTCGTCAATCAACGCCACCAGCTGGTTCGGCGAGTCAGCTGTTCGTGTTATGAGGGTAACTACGTTCGCACCACCGCAAAATTTATTGAAAATGAATGACTTCTAGGCACCTTGATGCTCCCTGCCGGTGGCGGTGTAAACACAGCTGTCGTATTTTTCTAACAACAACAAAAGTGTGTGATCGGTTGTTTTGAGGTTTGTGATATCTATGGTTTTCAATGAGAACAGTAGAGCTAGATTATTTACAGAGGAATTATTACTGCTCCATTATCTAAAAACACCTTGGGGTTAATCCTAGTCCATAGTTATGCAGCTAGCTCGCTAACAGTTTTGATAGCTACTAGAAAGACCTGGAACTACAGGACTACGTTGAAAATACCCATTTGTTGCTCGCCAGGCATCCATGGTAGTCACGTGACTGCAAAGTACGAATTGGTCCAATCTCTTCTCAAGTCTGCCAGATAGAAAAATGTAATTGACAGGTAAACCGAAGAACCAATGAGGAACACTTCACAGGTCATGATGACCATTAGGGTTGGGTATCGAGAATCGAGTATCGATTGGAACCGGGACTAACTTTTCATTTTTCCCGGAATCGTTCAAAAGTTAAAATTTCGATTCCTAGTTTCGATATTCACAAGCCGAGCGGAAGAAGAAACCACTGAACAACACCAAAGAAGAAGCGTCTTCCGGAAGTGTTGGCATAACCGCGCGAGTCGAACATGAGTAGCTTAAGTCGGTGGTCCAAAGTGTGGCTTCACTTTTCTAAAAATAACGAAATCTCTGCAAAATGCTAAATTTGTGACAAAAGGAGTATTTGTGACGGAAGGAGTATTTCCTTCAGAAAGGCCGTTGGTTAGCAAGGTTAGCTAAACTTTTTTGACCCTGCCTCTTAAAAGAATCGGAATCGAGAATCGTTAGGAACCGGAATCGAAACAAGGAATCGAAATCGGAATCAGAATCATTCAAATTCGAACGATACCCAACCCTAATGACCATGCACATAAAAAGCTGGTAATGTTGCTTTTTCTGATCTCTTTTTTCCTTTCCTGTTTCTGTACATCAGAGCTAAGCTGGGAATGCCACAGTTTTTGAGTTTGGAAGCACAAAGTCTTTTACGAATGCTCTTCAAAAGAAATCCATCAAATCGTTTAGGTAAGTCACGTAAGTGTTTCTTTTCAGTTTGTGAAAACACTTGACCATGGGTTGTTGAATTTTAATAGAAACAAACGTGTCACCAGTACGGTAATCATCCTAACTGGTCTGTTGCAGGAGCAGGTCCTGACGGAGTGGAGGAGATCAAGCGACACACGTTTTTCTCCACCATCGACTGGAATGTAAGAATCTTTGTTTTAACCCTCATTGCTCAACTGCTCCAGCCTCCATTTCTTGAGTGTGTGTGGTCAGATCAAGCTGTGTTTGACTTATGATCACATCACTTGTTTGATTAGTGGTTACTTTCACTATATGGACAAAAGTTTTGGGACACCTGATCTCTGTTCTCAATTACTTACTGTTGTAAGTAATGCAGCCTTTCTGAAATAGAAATCCCTGATGATTTAAGATTAATGCAACAGTATTAGATTGCAACAGTAATGGCAAATAAGGATGGATTTGAAAAGGAAGGGTTGGCTGTTGGAAATGTGGAGATACTTTGAAGGGTGAACTTGATGTTCAGTCCACCACGTCACCCTAGCCTGGCTCCGCCCACCTACGTATTTCCGCTCAATTTTAATTTTCCCTCAGTACTATGTCTGGGTTTGCTGTATATTCTTGGGTTTTCTCCAATCAATTATTTACTGGTCCAATCAGCGAACAGAGGGAGTGGCTGGGAACGAGGAAGTTGAGGTGCGCTAGTTTGAGTTTTAGACATGCGTTACAACCAAACGTTAGCAATTTGGTTATAGCAGATCCAGATCTGACTAACAGAGTGACTATCACCAATAGTTTTAAGTAAGCAATAAGGTATGAGAGGCTGTGCTATATTGTGAATAAGTAATTCCTGAGGGCGTTGTTAGGCTCGACGCTAGGTGGAGTAACCCCTTCAGCCGTTACTTATTGACTTGCCTCGAGTACCTTAATGCTTTTATAAAACGGTTGCCACATGTTACGACCCTTCTTAGTTTTTAGCCGTCTAGGGATTTAGAAGGGGAACATTAATCATCCCTCGACAACTACTAAAGAAACACTGGGAAGTGAGTGAGTGAAACCAAAGGCAGTAGAATATTTAAGGTTTCTTTTTCTTTATTGCTGGCCACAACCGGTCAAAATAGCTCTCCATAATATGTATGTACATCACACATCTTCATGAAGAAACAATTCAAACAAATATTAACCAATCAATAAAGTAACATAAACATACCAGCAAATTATGTATTAATTCTGGGAAAGGAAAAGGGCAACTGGACAGTGCCAACTCAAAGAAATTAATAAAAAGTAAACAATCTTTCTTACCCGAATTTAATCTAACCTAACTAATCAAAAATAAAATGTAGAAAAGAAAGATCTTCAACGTCCGAGACGTCGTATACTTCCCTACGCTAACTAACCAAAACAAAAATACAACAGTGGCACTTGTCCCTAAATCTAGTGTTTTTAAACAAAGAAAAAAACTACATGTGCGCAATGTATGTCACGTGACATCTTACCTGACCCTTTTCTTTGATCCCACTTTTAATAAAGCATCTTTACTCAAGTTCAGATAATGAGTAAAGGAGTTCAGGTTTAAGACACTCTAATTCACATGACAAACTTAATATAAACGAACTAATTCAATAATCAAACGAATGTCAACAAAAACGTAACAAAGGACTAAACGTAACAAAAGGCTGGCCACACAATCGCGTTCAGGTGCTCCTTTTATAGTTCCCGCATCTCCTGATGATCCCCGTGATTGGATCGCTCTTTCCCTCCTCTCTGATGACAAGCCTCAGAGATCAGCCAATGACCGTAACCAGGACAACCAATCAGCGCTTCTCTGCGAAAGAGAAAGTAACACGGCAGAAACACGAAGAAACAGAGACACCCAAAGTCGCAATCTCGTGTAATCGCCTTTATTCGTAACACCACACAATACAATTAAAAAAAAAATGTATTAGTGCAACTTTCATGAAGTAAAATCACTAAAAGCCTTCCTTCTGCTAGAAAAAAATAGTCCCTAATACATAGAACCGTTGGGTGAAGCGGTCAGAGCCGTGTTTCATCATGAATAAAGCACATCTATTGACCAATCAGAATCAAGGATTGCAACTAATCGTTTTATAAATTTCAACAGAGTTAACACTTGCCTTCAAGGAAGTTAACGCTTGTCAATGGAAAGTGGCCAGACTCTCTGTGTACAAGAGTCTGGTTGGACCAGGCTAATGACACCCCACAGTCCACAACACACTCACGTTTAGCTCTGACTCTGTGGTCAACATCATGCTTCACTCTGAAATCCATCACATTGCAGAAGCATGGGTTTTGAATGCCATTGATTTCATGTTGACTTGAGTCTGGCTGATGACCAGGATTCACCTTTTTGTGTGTGTCAAGTGGAACGTATTTTATTGGAGTGCCATGTGTTTGTTGTGTCTGTTTAGAAATTGTACAGAAAAGAACTTCAGCCTCCATTCAAACCTGCTGCAGGGAAA